AGACAATTTTCGAGCTAGCCGTCACAAATAAGCGCATATTTTCAATCTACTAGACGCGGCTTGAGGAACTATCGGACTAGATACTTTAGGGAAAACTCCACCGGCATAAATTTACCTATATTTAGCGGTTTACTACATCGAATCTCGCAGATCGCATGCTATCTCGCGGGCTTGACTTAGCATCTGTACTCCAAGATGACCCTTTACATGCCTGGACCGAAATTGCTTTATATCACTCCAGTCCTAAAGCTCTCTACGAATGGTTCTCATTCCAAGGATACTGCCTTCCCCTTACAGAAAATGCTCTAGACACGCCACTTCTTGCTGCAGCTCGAAATGATCGGGTTGAGGCAACAAGCTGGCTCTTGCTTTATAGCACCGACATACGCGAACTATAGCGCTGTGCAATTGACGCAGCTAATGTACATATAGAATGAGAATCTGGAAAAGTTTTTGTTATGAAAAGATTGGGACGAAATTTTTGTTAATTCGACATTGTATTTTGAGGGTCGATACTTCCATAGATTCTAATTTTCGGCTTTTTTCAAGAGCTCGCATGTCTCACATAGCATCCTGTCATACATACAAAACATTTTTCATCCTTATCTTAAGAGCCCCTATTACGCCTTCTTTCTTTTGTCCAAAATCAATTCTTGCCTAGCGCTATCTCCACACACAGATCGCGCAAAGGTCAGGCTCAGTTGATGGAGATTTGAGCTATATTAAACCCCTAACGATGATGCCTCTTCTCCGTCCCTTTCGTCCATTTCAAGGTCAGAGTCAGAAGTTTTAGACGAGGATTTTTTATCGAAAGAAGGTAGATGACTCTCAAAATCCATTAAAGTTCCCATAGGAGTCCTCTCCCAAGGCGTCTGGTTCTTAGGCCTGAGCAGCAGAATGACCACTAGACGCTCTCTTTCCTAAGAATCACAGGGGATCTCAAGGGATGTTTCATACTTTCGGGCATATGCGCAGCTGACCTCACCACCGGGAGAATGATATTTATGGTACTAAACCAAGTTGTTGATGAGCATCCTGAACTCCTTTGGTAATTCCCAATATTATGAGGCCGCAGACTTCTAATCTGCACCTTGGTCCACCATTTTGTATAGCGCATCCTAGCTTAATAACATCTCGGTGTGTTCGACTCTAGTCCAGCGAGCTTGTTCTCCAGGGGTAGTATCCGCCTTATATATTTTCAACCCTTTGAAGATCATTTCCGTGAATATTGGAACTTTGGTGATATATTGCCCGTGAACGTCTGACAGATAGTTATTATGTAATTCGTATAGCTGAGGTAGGTAGATAGAATGAGAAACTTTCAGAAAAGGTACAAGAGATAGTGTTATTGAAGTGCAGTCCTCAAGAACAAGACCGGTATTTATAGGCATTCCTAACAGGACAGAATTCAATGTAGCATCACTAAGTATTACTCAAGAAGCGAAACTGAAGGGAAAGGAAAATTTTGAGCAAGCCTAAGTGCGCGACATTCTTCACAATATTATTGAGGCTAGAAGCAAGGCCTCAAACTTTGTTGTAGTCTTACATGATATCCCCATATTAGCCACCCTGCCTCTAGTGGCTCTCTAAAGTGAACTCCACGTAGTGTCTTATCACTGTTCTCATATGATTACAGCCTGTAAATATCATTTCGGGCAGTATAAATTAATCCATGGCCCAAACTCTGTGCCTGACCTTCCAGAATCTCCTCATGGAACCGGATGGTTATATTCAACAGGATCCCACCGGGTCTAGGTCAATTTTATATGAGGATAAGCAAGCCCCATCAACGAACAACGATCTTCAGAAATACTCCATTATGATGGAAATTGCAAGAATTTCATACCTAAGATTGATCTGCGTCGTTTGCGATATAGGCTTTAGCAGCACAACTCCACTTTATAAACACTTTGGCGAAGAAAGTGATGAGCTTCACCAGGCGCTCAATCGGAGGGATAACTTCAATCTTTTTATTACCGGCTATAAAAAAGCTATGGGCTGGAACACCGTTTCTCGTGAGGAGTTACCAAAAGATTACCAGAACAATTCTACTCGTCCGCAGTATAGCTCTTTCTTCCAAGTCAATTTTGTGGTTTCAAAAAAAGGACCTTCAAAATATAATTCCTTAGACGAGTCCTGCGCAGTACTCGAGAGAATACTAGTAAATACCAAGAAGATGCTTATATGTCCCTAATGCTTATGTCTTCTTCGAAATAATGATTCTCTATCCTCCCATTTTTTAGCAAAGCAAGACGACGTCCATCAAGGGCTTCGAGGGAAGACCGGCATTCAAGAGTTCCTTCGGTACTTCTACCAGGTACTCGGTCGACAGGTCCCCAAGAATAGTCTTCCCTTAGAGAGCAAAGGAGGGCCGACTTCATTCTACAAGTGCTTTCAAATAACAATCATCGTGAACTTCAAGCTACGTGAGTTCCTCATACTTAACCTCGAGATTCATCTTTATACTAAATATAACGATATAGCTACGAACAAGATAATTGAAAATTCGAAAACTGTGTAAGGCAGTGCAAAAAGAGGAAATGGAAACATGAACAGTAGATCCACCATTGACGTTCTTGAAAAACAACGCATAGTTAATAAAAACAAATTGATTAATATTTAATCTGTATCTATTGTAATTATGCCCACCAAAGAAGAGCAGAGAGACTGATCATTGACTGTGAGCTAATATTTTACGGTACTCAAGCCTGCCTCATTGCTTGAAAGTGAAAAGACTTCGAATCTTATCATAACTTATTAGGAAGCCGAAACAAAGATCTGGTTCTTCTTCTTCATTAGCGTTGCCAAGCCGATCAGCTTCGCTAAAGCTGTTCCTGGGGGTCTACGAGAAATAATCCATCGCTCTCTTCTTTGAATGAGATGAGTTTTGAGCCATCGAAAAGACTGCAGTGACAAAAATAATACGGTCGGTCGGGACTACATCGTGTCTTCGATAAGTGCTCTCCGACGCAAAGAGGGTTGGAAGCTGGGCTGTGAAATCAGATGGATCTAGGGAGCTTTCGTAGTTGTGATCGGAGTTAACAAAAATATCGAAGGCCTTCACGAGATCTGGAAGACTACCAGAAGCTTTAGCGCCTTATACAATTACAGAGAACGAGTAGTAGTTCTTTTTGTGGTATAGGATCTATAGCTTGCATTAGAATTTCAATTCAACGGACAAAATTTTAGTATATACGTATGCGAGATCCTTGATTTTCCCCGATAAGTCAACTCTAGCAGCGATGCAATCATGTACTGCCCAGCAAAGTTCATCCTATCTTTTCTTAGCACGGTCTTTAATCGGGTTGCTTTCCCCACCCATTAACTAGATGTTAAGCTGCCGTAAGATATGGAGATCGCCAACTGTTAGACGGACCGCAAGGGCCTCCAGGCATTCGCATTCAAGATCTCCAAAGAACTCAGTGTTGGTGTCAAAGGGGATGTTCCAGTCAGAGTTACAATATCGTGTAAAGCGAATTTCTAGGACGGATAATTGCCGCAGAACGATTTTCAGAGACGTAGTGACCCCTAGAAGTTGTGATAGAGGCCGAATCATCGATGATTCGAGGACTCTGGCAGTCCCCCTACCATCTACCAATGGCGATGGGTTACAGGCTTCGTTTATTGCTGCACACAGAAAAGGATCTACCTCTTCGTCTCTTAAGGACTGGTGTATGTGAGCAAACTCGCTTACACTAAAGTGGATTTAGCTATACCTGTAACAATGATAATAGACGCTTCAGTAACTTAAGGTTTCGAGAACAAAGCTTGCTCAATTCCAAACTGAAGTTGTCATAATGAGCAATAAATGCATCAGTTTTTATCGAGCGGAAGCCAAACGCTCGGCGCACAACATCTATAAATCGAAGTCGTTGGACAGCTTGAAGGCTTACGCGATTTAGTTTGTTGCTAAGGATATATATATATGTATCCCCATCCCGAAGATCATCAATTAGCCATTCAAAAGATGGGTAATCTTCCTCCGCAGTGGTGAAAGAGGGTTGATCAGCTCGTAGATAATCTTAGGCAAGACGAAAATGACGTAGTCGCATAATCGTGTCATCGTCTGCAGAGCCTTACTCCTCTTCCAGCATCATGCTTTCCATCTTTTTCTGCCACCAGTTCCTCAAACGCATATCGATTCCCGATTCGTTATGATAGCCATGTAAGTCAGCCTGCGTTGATATCAAGCTTGAAAAGGAGCTCTTGCACATAAGCCCTGAAATAAGTAAGCCTCTGCTGGTCGGTTATTTTAGGGTGCCATACCTCTTCCGTTATTATTCAAAGGCATAGTGTAGAGTGAACATATAGTTCGTGACCTCTGAAAGATGCAAGAGGGGGTTCGGCGGTATTTACAAGGTACTTAGCTCCGTCCTTTTGCAACATTGGAGGACTGTGCTCCAAGGTTCAGTGTGTAGTGGAATTGCCTGCAATCATTCATAACTAGCTAACAAGCTCTTGTCGTCAAGGATAAAAGATGCACGGCCTATGTCGGGCCAGCCTGGATACAGGTCATATCCGGAAGAGGAGAGATGAGGCGCCCTACGTAAATATAGACTTTGGGGACTAAGTCGTGTTCTAGACTCCGATCGGAAATATGTGCAATTTTACAAACAGCCTAATACGTGGTATTGTGGGTTATTTCTAGCTAGATCCCGTCAGCTTTACGATACAATTCAGATATCTTGCAAACCACGCCATTGCGGGGTAGCTAGTCGCAGATCAAATTTGGGAGCTAGCATCGCTCCAGAAATGCGGTCCTCATTAGGGCCCTTCCTCATTCTAAGGAGTTCCTCTTTGATTTTTTTACAGCCTCTAGCCCCCTTGCCTTTCGTGATAAGTGTTCCCTCGACTCGTAACCATGGTCATAAGCGGGGCAGGACATGACAGTCATCACGTGTGATTTTTGATTGGTGTTACGGGAGTACTTTTATATATATTTGACTTAGCCAATAGCCCATTTGAATCATTTTAAAAATCTTTGATAACTCCAATTCACAATGGTTTCACTGCCAGAGGACGATGTGAAGATTGGCACCAACCCATTAAAGGTAAGCCTCCAAAGATGATGCAGAATTGTTTCGCACACTGATCACTTAAGACTTTGAGAGTCCTCATTCCTGATACCCACCCAGACATCGACGAATATATCAAGGCGCAAGGCCTTAGTAATGCTATTCGCGCAGCTGTCCCACTTGAAAAGACTGCCAGCCGCCCTGATCGCCAGACCCTGGTAGATCTGGCAGTGGTCGGGAAAGAGCTTTCTCGGGTAGAGCGGTGCCTTTGTTGTATCACATCACCACTAAGTGATCTAAGCATGGTTTTCATCCCTACTGGCTCTATTTCCGATGAGACAGACCATGAGAGGCGAAAATGGCTCAGATCTGTTTGGGTCTATAACAAGTATCTGAACGCACAGATAAAGCAGAGTGAGACTGCCCAATTGTCTGTACTTGAATGGTATGATATGCGCTTTCATGAAATGAATACGACCATGTTTCAAACCTACAAAAAGGAACCTTTGATTCTGGACCGAGCGCCATCAGTCCCTTGATTTTTAGGGATCAGGACTATCATTTCCATAGCGGGATGAGTGAATACATAATTCAAGTCTGGAGTTCAGGCTGGATGGTATAAGACAGCTCTCTATCTCTGTCTCTTTGGTAGCGTACTTTGCCACTCATGATTCGGGGGGCTTCAACCAAGGGCGTCATTTGATCATAGAGACTTTGAGTTGATGCTTATATCGATCGACGGTGAACTAATCATCATGCGTTCTATCTGCGTATTCCCATTGGGACTCCAGGACGTCGCTCACTCCCATATTAATCTCCTCTCTCCTCGACTCTCGCAAAAAGTTTGAGTCTCAATATCTTGTGAACCTTTGCTACTTTCCACCAAGTAATGGATTCTGTACTAATCAATCTTACGGTAAGTGAGGAGTGTCTTCAACTGTGACTGAGTTCTAACATAATAAGGCTTCCCGTTTACATGACGAGATCCTATGGGAGCCGACCATGATAGCTGTGAAAGAGTTATTGAATCTAAGAAGACGTCTTCCAACTCTCACTAGCCTTTGGCAAATGTCCCTGAGTCAAGATGCTGAAATAATTCTGGCCAAGTGCGAGAAATTACAGCGCGGGACTCAGTTCGCGCCACACGGGATCGAGCTGGAAGGTTGCGCTCTTGATCTTTACACACTTCTTTTGGAGAGTTATTCAGAAGAGATCGTGCGAAGCCTCAGCTACGACACTCGTTTGAAGCTGACTCTTATCGTTTGGCATTTCCACCCCCTACCTTGCAACCTTTCCGAAGCCTTCATTGCCTCAGAAGCCCGAGTGACGAGACCGTGTGGGAAAGTCTTCATATCCGGTACCAGCGTTTTATTAGGCAACAGGTCTCATACGAAGATTTTGAGCAATCTTTTGACTTTCTGCTATCATTCCAGTTGCTTCTTTTGCATCAGAGCCCAAAGGATTTGGGTAACAAAACCAATTGTGGAATACCCGATACCAGCCTCAGCCTCCGCAAATGCTAGCGAGCCGGAGGGTTCGATCCGTCCCATTTCTGAGATAGGATCGGTTTAAAAAGCCTATCAATCCGAGCTCATCGTCTGCTCATATCCCACAACCCTTTAAAGCATACACAGACAGTCCTCATGGCAATGGTCCACTATATCAATACTATAGGCAGAGTCTTGGAGCTCTAGTTGGTGGGCAAGATAGACACCACGTCGACCCCCTTTCGGAGTCGCAGTCATCCAATTTACTATCGGAATTGCACAAAAGTACGTCCAGCTCTAGATAAAACATCGCGACTTAGTTATTACCTAGAAAGACGGCCGCACGGACACCATCTTCTAGACCAGTGTATATATTTCTTAAGCTGGAGTGGATGCGGATAGTATGCAAATGGTAATTAGGGCGCGAACCACTGGTAAAGGCAAACCTATAAATGGAGAAACATTCCTGCTACCTCCACGGTTGACGAGATATTAGGTAACAGTAGTAAGACATTAGCGGCTTCATATACTAAAGGGAAGCTGTTCACATTTATATTGGCGTGCAGCAGCGAAGTACATTATTTGTAACAGAGTACGTCACTAGAGTATGCATCCGGAGTATTTGTCGGGCGTAGACCGCAAAAGTTATATGACACGAGAATATGATATACTAATCCCGTTCAACCTCCGTAGGTAGTCTGTAATAGGCCTATAGCGGCTAGCGCTCGTCCGGTAGTAGTAGGAGTATGATGATCGTATCCTAATTAAGTTGATCAAGTTGATTAAGTTAATCAATGCAATCAATGTAATTAATGCAATCAATGCGATTAATGCGATCAATACACAGCCATACCTAAGTCCTGACTAGATAGGCTTATACAATCCTGTTTCCTCTAACACTGAAGGCCAGTCACGTCTAGAATTTAGATTGTCGAATACACACTGCCGTGTATTCCCACTCCGGTGTATATACGCGAGAAGACTACACCTAAATAGAGGAAGCAGATAAAGGTCTTTATGGAAGGGGTTCTGGCCGCAACGCTGTTAGAGAAGGCTCGACAGCTGTCTAGTACTAAAACTCCAGCGCGGAACTAGACTACTTTCGAACTAATTCTAGGACATAGCGGTGTCCACATTTACCCTAAAGATTCGGGCACTACTGTCTTTCCGCCGATCCTTCACACCGAGCGCCCTAAGCTTGTTGTATAGGGGTGCCTATACGGTAAATTCATTACCCGGTGTGTGTAAGACTAGAAATTCACACCACGGGTGGTCGACTTTTAAAAACTAGTATTCTGCTCCTTCTATATTATCATAATAGGTGTAGGGGTAGCCTTTTCGAGAGACATAGAATATGTAGAACTTTTTTTGTTTAGAGCCTATGATTACGATATACCCCTCATAGAAGGCCTGCTATACTACCACAAACATCCACGCTCTCGTAATTCAATCCAAAACCCAACACCTCGGGAATAATGCGATAGTAGAAGTTAGCCTTATGACTATCCTTCATAAGCCTAACATAATCCGATGCGGCAAAAACATACGACGCCTAGTCTCTAGCGATAAACCCCGCCATATTATCCTACTAAGAATTGGTGAGAGCTGTTGGCTAGCGCGTAGTAAAGCTAATTTTGAATCCTTTATAGCTAAATCCGGTACGCTTACTTAGATTCGAAGGATTAGCGGTAAGGGTCTTATTTACCGCACCTAGATAAAGTATAGTTCCTCCGTTACTATATTAGTTAAAAGCAACGTCATAAGTAAATCTATTGTTTTTGATGCCCCGGACAATTACGCGATACACAAGATTAGGCTTATCGTTGCTCCGCTTTTAATGGGTGATTGTGAGAATGTCGACATCTTCCATAGTATCGTAGTTAAATCTTTTATTATATAACCATTAGTTAATAGTGTCTACATAACTCGTATTAGACAAACTCCGCGTATTAATAGACTGTAGTTGTTGATTAGGGGAGACACCGTTAGTACCGTTGACCCGTCTACGGGCTGCTGTTATAGCAAAGATCGTGTTTATGGCCTATTGAATTTTAGAGATCCACTATGCATAGTCATCGAAGTGATAATGTTCGTATACTTCTACCGCAAAATAAGCACCTACGTTCAAAAATGCTAGCCTAGAAGTGCTGAGATTAGTTACTATGAACGATGGTGGAGCTAGCGAATACGTACTATACCGTGGTGTCTCTAATGACCCTAAGGACTTAGCTATTTAACGGGCTGTAAATGAGTGCCCGACTTTCTAAGTGAACCACTACATTATGGGCTTTATTTAGGCTTCGAAGAGCTAGTGGATGGAGCTCGTTAGGGCTCACGTGCTGAGATGGCGATTCTAGGGAACCATCGTTAATAAGAGGAGTAGCTACGCCTAAGTGGCTGGCTAATAGTAGGGGAAGAAGAATCGACAGAATTCTCATAATGAAAGATAGTTAATTAATAGAGTTAATAGATAGATTCTCCTAAGAGGCGGGTTTGTAGATCGGTTTTATAACTGCTTAATAACCCCGTGGATAGCCTCAGAGTACTATATTATAACTCTACTCCACTTAAAACGGCTCTATAAGCTTAAACTAATATAGTAGAAATCTACTAGTGAATTCGCGTAAAAGTAGATAATCCGGCTACTTATATTTTCTATTACCTAAAGGGTTCCACGATGCTCGTTGATGCTAGTTTATCTAGCCCTATATATATACTTCCGGTATACCCTAATTAATCCTATAGTCTATCGAGGGCTCTATACGACTACTCCTTAGCATAGCGATCGATACCCTAATCTAGCATAATCTATAGGGCATAATCCTCGATATGTAGCTACAAGCCTATAAGTAGCCTTAGATGGTAAGTGTAAAATATATCGAATTCCTAGCCTAATGAATGATCTTATCGTAATTAATAAGTAATGGCAATATTTACTAACTTAGCTCTGTAGTCACCTAATATTAAGCGGTGCTACAATATCCGTGCATCCTAAGCGCAATTTTAAAATGTCTCGGACACCTAGCCCACTTTTCCTTAGCGTCCCTAGCGGAGCGCGAAAATCAGACTCTTCAAATACAGTATCCTCTTCTCCCTAGGACCTTCTAAGAACCTAAACCTCATAATAACTACGGCATTTTCGTTCAGCGAACTCATTCCTCAAATACGCTAGCACTATAAATATAACCGATCGAGATAAAGGGCCCTTATCTTCGGTCCTAGCCCGACATACCTACCCGACGCGCTTCCTTTAGCGTCTACATAGCCTTATCGACCGAATCCTATTTATGTAAGTCCTATTGTCATCTTCGATTTATTAGAGATAAAGAAATAAAAGTAACATCATAGTTAGATCCGGTATCTATGCCGCGTCTCTCCCGCTAGTGTACTACGTCTTTTGCTACCACTATCAGGGAATTAAGAAAGCAAAATGCCGGGAGCGGAATAGTGATCTGACCATTCTTCTAGGTGGTACTTTTCTTTTTCTGTATTTAGTAAAACTTATCCTGTAGTATCTTATGCTCCGCTGCACTCGGTGAGCGGACTGGTGATGCTAAACTAAAGAATACAGTCTCGACAAATTGTTTTGGACATATTTATATACGTGTCGTGTTTCTATTACTATAATAATACTACTTTAGTTTTAGTAACAATGAAGTAGGTTTCGTGATGATTCCATTAATGTTAACTCAGGGGGTTCTTTTTCCCTTACTTGGTTTTAATACTACTGGAGTACCAATACCTCTGCTACCCGTAGCATTGACCTCGTGTCAACGGTTGAGTGGGTTTCACGCCTCCCAGCAACCGTTCTGTTCACTCAATTAAGCCTCGCGTTAGAGCGTGGGTGCGTTAACAATTCAATTTACCTAGCGCCATCTTACCCAATCAATATTTTCGGAGAGTGAGAGTCGGAACTATGACCAATCCGTGCCTTCCGGCCTACCTTCAGTGCACCCACACCACTTCGCGTTGTGGGTGAATTTAATACAAACTACCGTTTTCAAACTAACCGCAGATTTCTGCTATGTATCTTTTATATGTGACTACCATAG